CAATAGGGTTATAATAAGCTATCACAAGATCTTGAAAAAAAATCTAGAGCTCTAAGAAACCAACAAGCAGTGCTTCGAGCTGTCCATGCATAATTCGCAAGACAATGAGCTACCCTACTTTACGATCTAGCAATCTTACTCTGTTTGAACTCACGCTCTTCCATAGGATGTTTGATTTCCCGCTCATACCCTTTCTTCTTCCCCGTGGCAAAATATGACGAGGAGGGGCACCAAAAAGTTTCCTCTCCATGGCCGCAAAGCCAGACGCGCTAGTCTCCATGGCTGGCATCCGATTTTTGTTGTTAGATCTTCATCCCGGGTGTTGGGGGCGGTGCGGGAGCTATTCAAGTGATGAGCGACAACCGGCAAGGCAAGGATACAAGAGGTGCTGGAAGCAGTGACAGCGAAGCTGCAACTGGCCACACAATATGTTGGAAGCAATGCCTCTTGGTGATGGAACCAAACGCGCGCCTCGCCGCTGACGCGTTCTTTTGCTGGAAAAACATTTTTTTTTGTTGTAACTGGTTTTTTTATTTTGTTACATCGACTACTAAGATTACTGGAACTTGCTAATTTGTTTGCCATAATCAACTACTGGAGTTTTTGCTACATAGTATTTTTGCTGGAACAGTCATTGTTATTTGTTGGAACCAACTAATTTTTTTGCTTCAATCGAGTCCCGGAGTTTTTGTTGCATTAGAAATTTTCCTGTTGACACATCGATGCATGACGTTATTGATGTTGCAACCATGACAAGTGCGCGTTGGAACCGGACGACCTTAGAGTTGCATCCATGGTATTCGCGCAGTGGGACCAGCTGGCGGCCGTGCTGCTATTCCACAGCCATGGATAGGACCTCCCCACACCTTCGACGGGCTCAAATTTGAGCCAGCCGGCCGGCGCCTAGTAGGAAGTAGTCATTATAAAAAGAAATTTGACCAAAAAGCCCAGTGCTAATGTATAGCACGTGCCAACACGGGGGTGCAATTGCGCTATTATTATTTTTTACGACTGTGCCCTCATAGGGGATCTTTTAACTGCATTTATTTTGGTCCATGCGCACTTATCGGTGCAAGGTCACAGCTGGGCTCGGAGGCCATCTTTTCGTCCGTGTGCACTTTTGGTGCTGGGTCACGGGTTGGGCTCGGTGGCCTCTTTTATTTGTGCGCTTTGGCATCTTTCGCAGCTGACAGCCGTGCATGATCCCCGTGTTGGCGATGTAGTATTCAGAATTCAGCCTAATAAACTGGTCGGTCTTTAATTAAACTCCCGATACGGTACTAATTAGTCTGCGCAGCGATTTGCCCGGAGGATTTCTCGTCCCGCACCGGCTACCCAACTGGGCCCGTTTCTGGCCCCCGAGGCCCGTTCCCCTTCCCTCGTCTGCTCTGGTGGTGTGGAGCGCCGACCCAAGCTGCTCGATTCCCCTAAAAAAAACCAAGCTGCTCGATCTTGAAAGGAAAAACAACTCATCGAAGGCGGAGGTAGCGCCTGCTCCTGCTACTCATGGCGGATATCTATGTGTCGTCGTCGTCGTCGTCGTCGCCGTCTCGCTACGTCGCGCTACCTACGTACGTGTCAAGCACAAGAGGAGCCTCGTCTATATAAAACCAAGGCAGGTAGGTGACTGTGAGTCCGTGACACACACGAACCAACGTAGCAGAGCGGAGTAGCAGACACGCGGAGAGATCGAGAGATGGTTTGTGCCTGGACGGCCAGTGCTCCTCTGCTCGCTGCAGCACTAGTAGCGGCGCTGGCAATGGCCTGCTCGCTGGGTTATGGGACTTATGCGCCGGCAGAGCAGGAGGCCGCCGGCGCCGGCGGGAACGACGTGAGGTTGAGGCAGCCTCCGATCACGCGCGGCCTGTCCTTCGACTTCTACAAGCGAAGCTGCCCCAGGGCGGAGTCCATCGTGCGCCACTTCGTCCGGAACGCCGTCCGCAAGGACGTCGGCCTCGCCGCCGGCCTCCTCCGCCTCCACTTCCACGACTGCTTCGTCCAGGTGCCTACCTGCTACGTTGCTTGACTTAGTTGCTTGCCTGCCATCAAGCCACTGATTGGTTCATGCATCCATGGGTGCGGCCGTGCCCGCGTCATGCATGCATGCAGGGCTGCGACGCGTCGGTGCTTCTGGACGGGTCGGCCACGGGGCCGGGGGAGCAGCGGGCGCCGCCCAACCTCACGCTGCGCCCGTCCGCCTTCAAGGCCATCAACGACATCCGGGACCGGCTGGAGCGCGAGTGCCGCGGCGCCGTGGTGTCCTGCTCCGACATCCTGGCGCTCGCCGCGGGCGACTCGGTGGTCGCCACGGGCGGGCCCAAGTACCGCGTGCCCCTCGGCCGGCGCGACAGCCCGCGCTTCGCCACGCGGCAGGACGTGCTGTCCGGCCTCCCCGCGCCCACCTCCGCCGTGCCGTCCCTCCTCGACGTGTTCCACAACCACAGCATCGACCTCGACGCCACCGACCTCGTCGCGCTCTCCGGCGGGCACACCGTGGGGCTCGGGCACTGCGCCTCCTTCGAGGGCCGCCTCTTCCCGCACCCAGACCCGACCATGAGCCCCGACTTCCTGGGCAGGCTGAAGCGAACGTGCCCGGCCAAGGGCACCGACCGCCGCACCGCGCTGGACGTGCGCACGCCCGACGTGTTCGACAACAAGTACTACGTGAACCTGGTGAACCGGGAGGGCTCTTCGTGTCGGACCAGGACCTCTTCACCAACGACGCCACCCGGCCGGCGGTTCACGCGCAGCCAGCGGTACTTCTTCAACCAGTTCGGCGTGTCCATGGTGAAGATGGGCCAGATCAGGGTGCTCACCGGCGACCAGGGCCAGGTCCGCCGCAACTGCTCCGCCATTAACCCCGGCACCGTCGACGGCCTCGAGTGGTCGTCCCTGGTGCAGACCGTCGTGTACGCCGCTGCGGAGAGCCTCGGTTTGTACCATTAGAATCTAACTAGTGGAGTTGTAGTGGCTGTTAATCATGTCGAAATAAAACAGTAGTGAGCAAGGCGGCAAAGGCATGATGATGAGGCTGTGTGCAACCCCCACCAGCTAGGATTGCTAGGGAACAAACTGACAGCGTTAAGATTTTCAGCCGCATTCCATAACTTGCATTTTAATATTCTAGCATTTGGTTATATACATACATGGCCTGATAATATACAAAATTTGCCAAGATTCGTCTGCCCACTTTGTTCTCTCTCAAGCACTCAGTAAAGTTACTATTCTTGTATGCTTTGCTTTTACCTCCCTTTCTTATCACAAGGCTAATAGTAACTCTTAACAAACTTAAGTGAAACACTCCACACATTGTTCAGCCGATGCCTCTGGGGCTTGGCTCCTGAGTACACACAGAACACCGTATGTTTATTGAGAGTTAGCTTAGCTTAGTCAACCCAAAGTTATCATTAGTAACACTGGCCGACTTCAGTTACCAGGGACACAAATACACCCGCAGGTGAAATAACATCAGAATAATCGTCCACTTCGGTTCTCACATGGGGAAAAACAACGTCAGATCGTTTTTAACACAAAATATGTGATATCAGAATACTCGTCGACTGACTTCGGTTCTCATGGAAAAAAAATACATGCAGTACAAACAGCTCACGTAAGCATCGGATAATCACGATGTCATATTTCCAGCAAATTGCTTAATGGCCATTCTAAGATACACAGATGCTGGAATCGACAATCGTCCACGGCGATGATGAATTATAAAGTTGTCTTTAAGGAGCAGACTAAGAAAATATAGATGCCATGTCACCGTTAACTTTAAGTAAACTTCAGCACTTAACATTTCAACTTGGTAAATATGGATATGGTAATTTTCCGTACCAGGCAAATGGAATATCAGAGGCTCTAGTTCCAAAACTAAATCTTTAGTCGCTGAAAGAATTTACACAAAAGATGCATCTAGGTGTGCGCTTCCATATCTTTGTACACCGATATTTCAGATCGTCTCACATAGTTGGCAGATCAACCCATAAGGAGGACATTCTTCACACATGCTCTGTATGTCAAAAGCAAAGGTAGCTTTAGCTGGTAGGGATAATTATTTTGCTGCATCAAGCATGAGCTAGGATCCAATATAAAAGCAAACCAATAGTATATTTACAGCAATTGTCTGCTTAACTCGGAGTTACGTATAAGTGATCCAGTTAAGATTATCCTGATCTGAAACGATCAAACGCTTCACCAGTAGCATACCCAACACACATGTTTAGTGTTTCTAATGTGTATTATTACTTTATAAGACATAGTACTAGTCATTTCGTATATTAGTTATTTTGTTCTGATCATTCAGAATGAATACTGCACTCTTCTGCATACAAAACAAGTAAATAAAGGGAAAACACAGATACTCCCATACAAATCAATTCCGTAGTACCGCTTAAGTAATATCCTACTACTCCAAGCAAGGGATCTATTAAAGTCAATAACAATGCACCACGTCTCTACTCATCAAGTAAGATTTCACTCCCCTGCTGTTATAAACATACAACACAAGCCGACAGACATTGCACATTGCGTACTCAACTTCTCTGTTAGAACCACATTACCTGTAAGGTGAGAATTTTTGCTCATCGCACTTGGGTCAGAACTAAAGCTTCTCTGAACAATTAGGCTTAGACATAGGTGAAGGGATGAGCAGATGATAATTCATGCATAAGAGTAGTGTGGCCAAATGTTTGAATTTGTCAATTGATACACATGGTTGTCTTGATCTGACGTGCAATACGCTTTTATATATAGTTTGCAATACTTTCTGTATCGATCCGCCATCTTAAGATCCGCTATTATTTTTATTATTGCCATCTGTAATGAAACCTATCCCTTACAGAAAACTAAGTGAGTATACATCAGCATGTTGACAGTGATGATTACTTAGTTACAGCAAGAGTTCATATTTCAGAAAACTGTGAACATCAGTTTCGGTCTGGTGGGATATAAAATCCCAGCACATTTGGAACAGTGTTATTAACAATTTACTCTAGTGAAGTCCAACATACGCCTGTTTTTAATCGACTCCAAGCAGCAGTTGTGCCAGATTTCCCAGTAAATCCTAGGAACAGACCATTTTGTATCAAACCAACAAGATACTGAATGCAAACATGCACAAATGATTCCCAACCTTATTAATAGAAAGAAAGAGCGCAGTAGCAAAAAAAAAAGATACTGGCATAGCTGCCTAACGGGTAGGATCAACTGGCTAAGAATCCTCAGTGAAAGAAAGACAATCCAATTGCTGTAACTAATCAGGGAGATAGTAAAAGCAATTGTGGTAATCTCATACCAAACTACAGTCGCCGAAAGGCAAGTATATCAAGATTCGGCTAGTTGGGAACAAAATCATGGTGAACCAGAATACATAATGAACTTTTGCATAACTAACTTCGCCGATTCCATAATCAGAGTTAAGGAAGAAGGAATAATTTGTATATAGATACATAAACCGGGATGGGTATACACAACCAGTGAAAGAGATGTCTCAGACCTATACGCCAAACAAAGTTCTGCTAATTTAACATCATTACATACTGCACAATATGTAGTTTAGTTTCTCATTTTAACAAAATCGGTAACCATAATGGGAAAGATGATGTAAAGATGAGTCATGAATCAATGCGATTGTTTCAAACTGTAGCTTTGAAGGGAATGTTTATTTTTTGTAACTCAGGTAAAACCTCTCGAACAACAATCAACAATGGATGATCCATAATTCAAATATGCAAACATAGAAAGACATGTTATGGGTAGCAACATACATTTCAGGGGGCGAAATTCCTTGCTGACAATACATGCACATGCTACTTTGGAGCTTCTAAAGCACTCTCAATCTGCAGGATTAGCTGGTCAGCAGGCAACGCTCCCTCCTGAATACCAGCAAATAAACAAAAATAAAGACCAAAGCCACGTTATAACAATTTCATTTGCACCAGTCGAAACACTATTTATAAATGGAGAAATATGAGTCATCAAAACTTACAAAGCGATAACAAGGTTCCCCGTCCTTGAAGACAATGAAAGTCGGTAATGCTTCAATTTTATACTTATTTGCAATGCTTGCATATTTCTCTGTATCAATTTTCACAATGTTAATCTTGTCACTCATCTTCTCATGCACTTCTTGAAGTATGGGAACCATGTATTGGCACGGACCGCACCTAACAAGAAGAATAAAAATAAATGCACACATACAGCATAATGGTATATATTTGCCAATCTTCCTACAACATAGCCATGCAATTTGAATCATCAACCATACTGTAATGAATTATACGTGCTACGAGATCGTATCCATTTTTTTGTCAGAAGGAGAAAAGATGCACTTCTTCATCAAAGTATGTGAAAGAAATTAGCCACAAAATGCAAAATCATATAAATTAGTAAGATTTACTTTAGTGTTCATATGGTATTCATCTTTGGACTAGAGCAAAACTAACATGGTAGCCCTTTAAGAATCCATAAGATGAACACTAAAGAAAACAGTTAAGAGCTTGGCGGCACTTTCTGAGTAGGAGCAGGGCATGCCACCACCAAACTTGGCTCCATAAGGTTTAACACTATGATGATGGACATAATTCACAGTATATCTAGTATAGCAGCGATGTAGACCATATATACATTCAGGAGCACTACTAGATTTTGCTGATGGTCGCTTACCAAGTTGCATAGAAGTCGACCAGTAAAGGCTTTTCAGACTTCTCCAATAACTCGTCGAAGGTAGAAAATGTTTCCTTCTTAGCTTTGACCTATCAGAAAAGATAGAAACAACAGAAAAAGTAAACAAAAAAATAGGCATATTTTAGAAGCAGGAGGCAGCATTAAGTAATTACAACAGAGTAGATTGGTTCATTTTTTCATTTCTATGATAATGTCTGTCGAAGATTACTATCTAAGAGGGTTGCACCATTGAGTATGTTAGCAGGTGACTAGCCAAAAACAACATAGCTACCGATGGCTCTTCACCTACATCAACTTCAGAGCCTAGGAAGTAAACAGACGAGTGGCAGAGGAGTTTATATTATATACTTAATGTTAATTTTTTTTAACAGTTTAATTTTATTTTAGGATTACTTGTTGGAATTATGAAGACATTTGGACAAAATAATAAGTACTATTCATAGTGTAGTTTTCACAAACTTTGAACCAATGTATTGAACTTATAGTGTCTATATATTGCATATGTAATAAATCGTGGCACTCCCAGAACTATGTCCTGCTAGAGTGCTACACCCAATTCTACTCTTACTAGGACTGAACTTGACCTCTGAACATAGTACACAAAGCTTCCCCCTTGGCTTCAGATTTTACATGGCAAAGCAGAGATTTTATCTGGTCCAAACTAAAATTCCCCACTAAAATCCCACGATCGAAAGGAAGTAACCCAAGTGCACCGAATACTCACCAGGAGCGCGGCACCCCGGCGAGGCGGCGCGGCCGCTCGCCGGAGCCCGACGGCCGGCGGCGAGCGGCGGGGCGGTGCCCACTGCGAGGGGCTCGGTGCCGGCGAGCGGGCGACCGCGGCGGTGGCGTACGCGGCGGGGGCGGCGGTGGTGGTGAAAGCCGCCATGGGTGGGGTCTCCGTGGCTAGGGTTTTGGTCGGCGGCGGC